TTTACCACAATTTATATAAATAGATAATAAAACGTATTACAGATCTTATAAAGCAAGTAGTTCTACGAAGTATTTCAGTTCTTCATATTCCGTGTACGAAACAAAATGATGATGTGTAAGTTRAATGTATTCGTATTATTGATAATCAATCTTATTTATATCATCGATGGGAAATACGAATTCAAGGAATACATTAATGGACAGCGAGAAACAGAAGTAGGTAAGATATATATTATTGAAAATATTTATACCGTTTATAACAAACAATTAATACTATCATTATAATTACAATAATCCTTCCATATACGTGAGTATATTTTGATTCCGCAAAAAAATTAAATGAAAATCGTGTCAATAAAAGATCATTCAAACACGTTAAAGTAAATCCGCGTAAATGAAAGAATTATTTTAAAAGAAAAGAAAAAAATAGAGCAAGAAAAAACATTCTAATCCCGATAGGATGCAGCCTAAACATAAGCATGAAAGTTTCTGATATAAGCAAGCAGACGAGACGTATGCCGCGAATGACATTAATGAAACTTGTCCTGGATAACGAATATTCTTATTTTCCTAACGTGATTCCATTGCAAAGATGTCACGGTTCTTGTCGTAATCTTTCTTGTTTACCGATGAAAACAATACGAAGACCAATTTTCCTTGAACGTATACATATCAATTCTCGTTATCCATCCTGCATTTCTGTTGACGTCGAGGAGCACATTCAATGCAAGTAAGTTGTTTTTGTTAATTATATTTTTCATTCTTTTTTTTTTTTAAATTTATTATATATTAAACGATAGGTAAATTGAACATGATCAAATCATATAATAATTTTGTTGAAAACGTGTTAATAACATTAACGTAATAACCCCTTTAATTCATATTACTCGGACTATTTAAAAAAAAAACCACGATAAAATATTTGTATTTATTTAACCACAAAATTTCCTGTGTAAAGATGCGCCTGTGAAGTCATGAAGGAACATTGTAACAGCAAACAAGTTTACCGCAAGAGAAATTGCAACTGTGAGTGTATAAATGACGAAGAAAAAAGAGAATGTATGAAGCAGTCCAACATGATTTGGGATCCGCAAAATTGCAAATGTATGTGCAATAAAATGGAAGAGACGTGTTCAAGCGGTCTTATGTGGAGTCGTGATAAATGCGCGTAAGTATTTTATATAATTTTTTGTTTGTTTATTTTTTTTTGCTTCTTTTTTTCTCGTTTTATTATTAAAATACGAAACACGAACAGCACAATAATAATCATACTGTTTTCTTATTCATTGAAATTTTTTGTTTTTAGTTGCGCTATAGTCATGATGATGGGAGATAAATAATTTAACTTTATACTTATTAAGCAACAATAAAAAAATGCTTATTACTTATACCTTGTACTTCGAATAATCAAATTAGTAAACAAAATACAAAAGGAAAAATAAAAAAAAAAGATACAGAAAAAGAAAGTCTTATTTGTCACGCACTGGCAGTAGTCAATGTATCGATATAATCTCCAAAATTGTTCCAAGTGTGATACCATAATTCAGGATTAGCACTATGGTCCCATTGTAAATTACCGGGTGGAATAGCCGTGGCATTAAATTTCTTTATCTATACCTGTAATTTCTTTAATATCGTGGGTAACCTGTAAGCGTATATTCGCGTGATAAATAAAAGGATAATGAAATATTACAACACCAAAAAAAAAAAAAAAAGAAGAAATTAACGAGCAATTGATTTATATATAGAATTTCTATTCACTCGTTAGCAAGATTATTATCCTCGCAAGGATCCTGTCGAACGTTGAAAAGACATGGCGCTTCCAATGGTAAGCATAAGGGTAAAGAATCATTTTTAGGTGGACACTTGATAAGAGAACTTTCACGAAGTTCATGAATTTTTTCTGGTGTAAGTGAAAAACCTAAACTTTTGAATGCACGATCTGACATACTACCGATTACTGCACCAACGTCATACACCAACTCTCTTCCGGATGGTCCAAACCAACCATCCCTCGCACCATTGTAAGTTGAACCTTGCAAATGAACGACCTTCCTTACGATCTCATTTCAAGTATTACTATCTTTTATCTTTCACGTAATCGAATAAACGATTATAACAACGTATAGACCAAACAAATGTTTAACAGCTACATTATATGTCTTTGCATTTTATTTTAATTCATAATCTTATTTTCTAACGACTTTGAATTTTATTTATTTTATATCTAAAACAAAAAAAAAGGGAATCGTTTTATCTGATACGAAACATTTGATTGTCTATTAAAGTTCCAGTTTTAACAATTTCACCTTAAATTAATTTCCAATCAACAACAGTGATCGCCGATAAACCAAAAATATCAACAATATTATGTAAAATTGTTCTACGCGGTGAGTCCTTGTCATCCCGCAATGCTTCCCATAAATCAATGCCATCCAAACTCGTTAGATTCGAAGGATCGCTACAAAAAACGTTAGGTGTTAAGATATTGTATTTCCCTAACTTTTCGAGATACATTAAAAAAATAAAAAAACCATTCCTACCATTTCTTACATTTTTGAAAATATCTCAAAACGTAAGCGAGAAAAAGCGATTTTTATTAAATTATGTTTTGTAGATAGTTTTATTTGCTAGAAAAAAGGTCAATTATATAGATATTGTATTCCCTTACTTTTCGAGATATATTATAAAAATTAAAAAAAAATTCCAACCTTTAATTGCATTTTTGCAAATATCTCAAAAAGTAAGCAAGATAAAGCGATTTTTTAAAATTTATGTTTTGTAGACAATTTTATTTCCAACAAAAAAGGTTTAGCATATAGATATTGTATTTCCCTTACATTTTGAGATATATTAAAAAAATAGAAAAAACCATTCCATCCATTTCTTACATTTTCAAAAATATGTGACGTCCCAGAAGGGAATGTCAACGAACAAGAACAATTTCAAAGATAATTTCTTTTGACTCGGTCACGCCACCAGCGTTTACTCGGTCAAAGGAAGATGTGCCCTGTTTTGGGTCAATCTGTAAAGCCAGACTTTA